GTGCATTGATGCAGTCAATGGCTGTGCTGCGCTGTGGATCTGTTACATTGTACGTTCTCGACAGAGGCCTTGCTCTGATGCGAATAGTGGACATCCGCCCATGGATCTTCTTAGTTGTTCACTCTCAGGTGCGACTGCATGATCCTGATTTGGGTGAGCTCATGAAAATTGCCAAACCCATGCCTTTGCATGGTCAGGCTATTGATGAGCATATATGACATTCCTCGACATCGCTTTGCACGAGGTGCCTGCTGTTGAAGAGTTGACGATCAAATATCATTGAGTTGAGACAATACTCACAACGCTTCCTTTTAGACAAATTTATTTGTCTTCTTTCTCTTTGCGTGATCCATGAGCGGCACCAGGGCTACGCAGTGAGAATTGAACAATAAACAATACAAACCAGAAGGCCTTTGCATGCAAACGGCACCTGACATTGACCAATGGCTTCATTTGGAAATGAAATGTTGGCACCAGGTGGCTTTCCATGTTTTGCAGGTAGTCGACCATCTGAGTGCGTTTGAAAGAGAGCATGTGCTGAACTACTGGATTCGCATGCCTGTGCTCATTGTGGCCTTGCAGTTCTGATGAAGTTCAACTTTAGGTAGTAAAACACTAGGAAAAAATGGGCCAAGTAACACGGGTTCAAACGAGTACAAAGTTTACGTGTATACGTGCCTCCTTGGCCCATTCAGTGTTTTCAGCATGCAAAGCACTGGTGAAATGCATGTATATGTGTCCACAAAAAGTGCTATTTGGTGTTTTTGTGCCTAGTGAAATTTGTTGCGGTTCACTCTTTTTGCAGGGCTTCAGGATGGATGAACAAGGGAGGAGTGTTGTTCCCTATACTACTGCGGTACATAAGCATATTTTGGACAATATGTTGGTATGGTGCTGCTTGCTGTTGCGTCTATGGTGGATGGTCCATCGCCTGAAAGCCTGACATTTTTCCCTCAGTTTGGCAAGTGCGAGATTGCTCCTTGTTGTTATCGATGCCGTTTCTCTTGCTTCACTGTCCTGGTCAATGGTGGGCATCTGAGTTCGAGTTTGTTATATGAGCATTTGCTTCCATTGCGAAACAACACTATCGATCGATATTTGGCCGTGGAGCTGGCCCTGCGAAAATGCAGAAGCACGTCTTCTGCATGAATGTGTGGATCCCTGGGGATCATTTGTGCTGATGTCTTGCTGCACTGTGTCAACTTTGGGGGCTTTTGCAGGTATTGCTGATTGTGGCATCTGTTGCTGGACAACACTTGCTCAGTCAACGCTCAGTGCAATGATTACTTCTGGTAAGAAAGTGGGCATGTGGCATGGTGTGCAGAAAACCAACTGCGGGCATTGTATTGCCATACGTAACCTTGTCAAGTGATACGAGCTTTATGGACCCATAACTAAGTGACTGCACTGGAAGTCGACCAGTTGGGTGTCGCAGCAACAACGAGACACAAAAAGTTGGAATCTTTTAACAGAGCAAAGTCCTGTTTGCATCCTGTAGCACTCTGAAGTATACTAGTTGCACACTCACATCTTGCAAAAGACAACAGCGACAGCCTGTTTGCACATGGAGTGTCTGAATTGTAATATTACTTCCTCCGGAGGAAGTATTTGGGACGGATCCGCCCCTGAACGAGCCGTTTCGGAGCCACCTCGAAACGCTTGGCTGAATGACGTGTGTTCATAATCACGCCGCTGAATAAATACTTAGTCGATTGGCTCAAAAATTTGGGAGCACAGATAAGACTCACTTGAAAACATTCTGGCAAATGTTTGCGCAAATCTGAGGTGATATAATAGGTTTTCCATGCCCACGGTTTGCAACTGCAATTTAATTTGGGACAGGGGAAGTATATGAGTGACATCTGAATACCTCATTTTTCCCCCATGTGTGGTGAGTTTGCTACTAAGAACGCAGTCGCACTTGGGCAAAACTTCCTCTATGGCAGGGAAATGCATAGAATGGACCCAACATTGCCCCCATTCGCCTACCAAAGTATTGTGCATTGGCGAAATGAAGCAGCTGTTCATCAAACATGAATACTTGTGTCGAAAAGGCATTGGGCTGGAATATTGCAAACCCATGACACGAGTGTCGATTGAATGGTGATGGGCTCACTTCAAACGAACATATATACATACCTTGCGATAAGGACTTCGACCATGCCTGCTTTTGCTTAGACTAGAATGGAATGACTGCAATGAGCTAAATCCAATGGTCTTCCTGTGTTTTTCATGGACTCCTGTGAACGCTATGACATGCAGAGTTCCATAAATGCAGGAGCGCAGTCACATAGCTGAGAAGTGGAAGAAGCATCACAGCGAGCGTCTCAAGACATTTTTCAATTTTATAAGATTGTTCTTGCAGGGTCAAATGGCAGTGTGAAGGATCAGCGTTGGAGAAGTGCAATGTCAGCTGAGAAACTTGAGGTACAACTCAAACATGATGTCCTTCCTAGAAGAGCAAATAGGAAAGTGCAAGCACTTTGCCAGTCGAGATCTTTGCCAGCTGAGACGTCAAAGATGTTAGCAAAAATTCTCAAGCCTGGGAAAAGGTTGGCTGAAAAGCATTCAGAACTGTTCGACACCACTACGTCTCTACAAGATCGACGATGCCATGATTGATTGTTGAGATGTTGTGCGAAGAAATGGTAAATTCTCTTTGGAATACCATTAAACTTGGGAATGAAGAGCGTCAAATTCAAGTGAAAATACCGACAAAGCGCATTGAGGAGGACAGGCAGCAACTGTATGCACATCTTGCCAATGTTCTCAAAGGGAAACATTGCGACTTTGGCAAGGAAGAATCGTTGCAGAAGAAATGGAAGTCGATCAGAAATGGACATGATAAGCAATTGGAAGCTCTGAATGCTGTGGCTGATGGTGAGGTTTGTTTGGTGAGCACTGTAGGCGTTGGTGGCTACAGCCAGGTGCATGCAGCAGCAATGTGTAATGGCTCCAGAGTGGCTGCCAAGAAAACAGTGTCAAACGTCGTTGCCCCCGATTTGACAATGGAACAATTTGCGGACGTTTTCAGGGCGGTGTCAACTCAGGCGTCGCTGAACCGCCCAAGCATCGTCAAACTGTACGGGATGACGAAAACTGAGTGCACAATAATGGAGCTGGCCAATGGCGACTTGAGCGAACTGGTGAGCGACGCGAATCTGACGTGACCAGCGACGCTGTACTTGTCGCGGCAAGCAGCAGCTGGGCTGGAGTACGTGCACAGCAGGTGCCCTCCTTTTGTTCATGGCGATGTGAAGGACAAGAACCATCTGTATGTCAGAACGGGTGACGGAAACTACGAAGTGAAGCAGGCTGACTTTGGCCTCACGACAGAGGGGCGTGAGTGGGCGTCCATGAGCGTGAGGGGCGTGAAGGGCACGTCCCCGTGGCAGGGCCCCGAGCTGTATAACGGAAAGCGTCCCTCCCTGCTGAAGGACGTCTTCAGCTTCGGCCTTGTCATGCACGCGGTGGTGGCGAGACTGCCGCTGTCCGGCCATGGCTCAGTGGAGTATGCGGTATGGCGGGAATAATGGTACTGGCGGCCATGGCACGTGCACAGCAGGTGCTCTCCCTTGGTTCATGGCGACGTGAAGGACAAGAACTATCTGTATGTCAGAACGGGTGATGGAAACTACGACGTGAAGCTCACCGACTTTGGCCTCATGAAAGAGGCGCGTGAGTGGTGACGAGACTGCCGCTGTCCGGCCATGGCTCAATGGAGTATGCTGTGGTGGGAATGAAAATGAGAGGGGAACCACCCTGCCTTGTGGAGGAGTACCGCTGCCCGAAGGAGCTTCGTGAGCTGATGAGAAGGTTCTGTGCCGCGGACCCAGTGGTCAGGCCCACCATGACGGATGTCATCGAATGCCTGTCGCGGCTGCCTGTGAGCTGGCCGCCTGGCCAGCAACAGACGTGAGCACACAGTTTGGAAGTGGTTTCTCTTGGGGTTAAAGTGGGAGGGGTCTAGCTCAGCTTGCATTAGTGGATGACGCAAGGGTAGCAGTCTTGTCCTGAGTGGGCTGCCATTTTGGCGGAGCACGTACATCATTGAGGCGTCCCTCGTCTTGGAATCGCTACCAGGATAAGTGTTTGTCCGAGGTGCCGAGCGCGCTGGCCGCGTGTATGGCCGTGCTGTGGCGAGTTGGAGCAACAAGTCTCAGCCTTGGCACCTGTGCTCCTTAAAAAACGATACATGTTCTGGAATTGATGAAGTTGTTCTCGGAAAAATGGCTTTCTGTGAATAACACCCGACCTCTGCCTAATACGCGCAAGAACATTATGTTGGTGAACATATATTGGTAAGTATGTATTCACACCATATGTTGGTAAACCTTCAATGCTTCGACAGTTTGGCGTGTTTATCAAGGGTGTAATGTGTACCAGCATCTTGTGTCCACGTTCAGCGTCACCAGCTTTTTTTTTTCTGGTCAGCGTCGCGCCTGGATTCCAGGCCAAGGCCACATAGCCACTTACTACCACACCAAGCATGGCCAGCTAGCCTTTGCTCCTGCTCCTGAAGGCCCTACAGACTCTCAATGGAGGATAAGCTAAAGTGGAGACTTCGCAGAAGTGCACCTCTGATCGCACCTCGCTGAGACGACAGCCCAGTGCACACGTCACACCCTCAATTGCAGTCTCAGCCCCAGCTGTGCGCCACATTGTTGCCTGCTCTGCTTAACTGGGGTAAGTGCTCGATTCTGTTCATAAACACGGGCACAGTATTGCACCTGAAAGCTTGCAAATCAGTTGCACAGCACGCAAAGGACGTTCTTGCTCAGTCCAGACATGGCATCACGCGACATGTCATAAAGCATGACCTCCTCTGACTGTCAGCGAGTTGCATCCCATCGTCGTAATCGTGCAACAGCAGCACTTTGGCATACTTTCAAAAACATAGAAACACCGAATTGAGCCAAGTTACATCTGAAGTCATTAACGAATCCGTGGATCAAGAAGTCATGCTTGCCAGTGCTTTGCATATCTCATCAATGGTGGGCCTGGCACCAGCATCACACGCAATGCACATCCGCATCAGGTCCAGCATCTCCGGCGGGCACTGCCCCTCCCGCACCTCCACGGGCTCCTTCCCCGACAGTTTGTCGTTCATCACCACCGCGCCCGCACGGGCGGGGTCCCAGCCCTCCACCCCGTATGGATGCCGCCCCGTGACGACCTCGTACATCACCACCCCAAAACTAAAGATGTCCGATGCGAGCGTCAGTGGCTTCCTGTGGTACACCTCGGGCGCCATCCACTCCAATGTGCCTCCCGCACCACGCACTGTCTTGCTCACTGTCCTAGTGCACTCCCCTGTGAGGCCAAAGTCCGAGACTTTCACAGTCCACGTGTCCATATCCGTTCCAAAAACCAGGAAATTTGAGCTTTTCACGTCTCGGTGGATCAGCGGTGGGGAGCGAGAGTGCAGGTGCCTGAGGCCCAAGGCCGCCTGGTGCAGCGTGCGGCGCTTTGCGGGCCATGACAGCTGGCCCCGCCGGCTCAGGGAGGCCAGGTCGCAACTGGCCAGCTCCATCACCATCCTGCCGGACTTGGTGATGGCGTAGAGGGAGGTGATGTGGTGGAAGGTGAGGGATGCCTGGATGGAGGCCTCCTTGAAGAAGGAGGCGAAGTCCTCGAGGCTGAGCTGGTGGTGGGGCGGCACGATGTCCTTGATGGCCACTAGCACGCTCTGCCACTCGGCCTTGTACATGCTGCCGTAGCCACCCTCGCCAATCTTCTCCTTGATCTGGAGATCCTCGTCACCGATCACCTAACAAGATACAGTAAAGCCGTACTTTATACTCAGCACGGAACATAGCACAGCCCAAAAGTAAAATTCCAAGAATGCACATGAATAGATGAAGTGATGTTTGGCATGTACTGAAAATGTATCAAGTGGACCAAATGCACTAAAACTGCTGAAACATACCAACTCTAGAGAAACACACCAAATGTGCAGAGACATGCCAAAAGTGTGTACCAAAAGATCGTTGTTCTTGTTGCTATATATCCAATCATCTTGGTAGCTTGGTTTCAGGGCTCAGGGAACACAACAAGTTCACGAGCTGCAATGTCTCCAACAACAACAGGCAGCAGCGCCAGCTGAATGCCTCACCTGCAGGCCCCTCAGCGCCATCTCATGGTCGGCCTTCACCACCTCCCAGTCCCGTCTTAGCTCTGAGGACAGTGTCTGGCCCTTGAGCACGTAGGCCAGGAGCATGTACATGTGGTGCTTGTCCCCATCAACCAGCTCCTCCGGGATGTCCTGCTTCAGATCCATCCTGGCCTGGGACCCTTGCACACCCCAGTCTTCAAGGTAGCCCAGGAGCTCACCACAGATGCCTTCCACGGCACGGCGAGCGTCATGGATCCTGCAGAAAAATCCGATGTGTTCCGGCATATTTGGAAGGACAAGATGAAACGTGGGCCCTGCAGCTGTTGATGAGGATGGACGGCATGCCATCCAGAATGTTTGTTCAACACCTTGGTTCACACTGCTGCAGCCTTAATATCTGTTTGTGCAAAATTGGTAAAACCACCAATGTTCTTCTTGTGTATTCACTGCACATGGCCCGCCCTGTTGAAAATGGCACCAGATGCACCCAATGGCTGCGATTACACAGTTTGGTTCCCTTTCAATACTTTTACTCAATACACAATGAACAGTTTTCAATAATCAACACTCCAAATTCAGATACAACTGTGGGAAATGGAGCATCTCTTGCCATCGTCCATGCTCATCATTCACCTGTAGAAGCTCTTCAGTTCAAAGCGCTGGTGTTTCTTGAGCAGCCTGTCACCCTTCTCGATCGCATAATCGTACTTTTTCAATTCATCTGCAGGCTCGTCAGCCGGCTTCTTGATTGTCCTGGCCTTGGTCAGCTGCTCCTCCAGGAAACCCATCATGCCCTGGTTGTACATTAGGGCACTGGCCTGCGGCCATTCCCTGTGCTGGACCTGTGAGGGCGACTACAGCAAGAGAGCACAGGGCAAAGTTGATTCAGGCTCCATTCGACATTTCCAACATCTTCTGGCAGGTTCAATGTGCTCATCTTCTGAGCATCTTGGTGCGTATGGATTCCGCAGATGACACACAAGAGAGCAGGAATGTAGTTTCTGGCATTCCTGAACAGCCAGAAAAATGTGTGCCCAGGATTCTGCACATCAATACTGCAGGTGATGTCAGAGTAAAGTGGGATTAAATTCTGTGCAGCTTGAGCCAATGCAATACGCATCCAGAAAGCCTGCCTTGGGCTCTCAGTGCTGTAGCATCTGCCAAAACACATCACACCTACACCCCCACCTCCTTGTGGAGCTTCATATTCTATGTGAGTTTTGAAAGGTGCAGTAGGCACCAGGAAGCGCCATGTGCGATCATAGAGTGCCCCCGCAATATTTAGATTGATAAAGCAAGAAATAGCAAACGTGGGGAATATGGGACCGTAGATGCTGTGCGATGCACATAAGATCATCGTGGAGTGCCCAACATCAAGAGAGCGCCGCCCACTTGATTGACGTGCTGGAAACAAAATGTGGTAGTAAGGGACTGTGGGGATGCTGTGGGTGATGTGCAGCATAGATCATCGAGTGCCCAACATCATAGAGTGCCCCCAACACACTTGATTGATGTGCCGGAAACAGCAAATGTGGGAATATGGGACTGTGGGGTTGCCGTCGGTAATGTGCAGCATAGATCATAGAGTGCCCAACATAATAGAGTGCCCCCAAAACATTTGATTGACGAGCTGCAAACAGCAAGTGTGGGAATATGGGACTGTGGGGATGCTGTGGGTGATATGCAGCATAGATCATCGAGTGCCCAACATCATAGAGTGCCCCCAACACACTTGATTGACGTGCCGGAAACAGCAAATGTAGGAATATGGGACTGTGGGGATGCTGTGGGTAATGTGCAACATCGTGCACCGATGTGGACAACATGCAACCCAGAGTTGATGCACAAGCAGTGTTAGTCCGTGCTAACTGTGAGGTAGCAACAAATGCCTACCAATGCTCTGTGGGAAGCAAGGTGACGATGTTATGATGCAGCAGACAGCCATGGGCCCTTATGTAGTTGGAGCAACCAAACAGAAGTGAACAGGCTTGTGAGCCAGTTGTGCTGTTCATCAGCAGCCAGGCTGCAATATGGAACACACATGCAGGCAATGCAAGAAAGAATAGGACATATCGGTACTTAGCCGTGCCCACTGGGAGCATGATATTGATTAATTAAATGCAGACATTCAGCACTCAATATTACATGGTGCCACCTTGGCCACTTATGTATACGTCCCAAAGGTCGCTGTGGAACAACAGCAGGCACCTTGTGCACAGTGGAATTGACCTCAAGTGCATCCACGATCGCATCCCCGATGTTGTTTGATAAATACGCTGAGTCTGTGTGAAACGAGGAGCCCTGACCACCAGCGAGGACTTTCGGATCCGCTCCATTTTTGGTGGTAGTGAACTTTTGTCAGGAAAACATACACAAAATGTCAGCGTTGGGCACACACTCAACCCTGTGAATGCTACAGTGCACAATCCACTCAAGGCAGAGGTTTCACCATGTTAATCGTATCGCCAAGAACAACCTTGAATCCACATAGAGATTGACAAACAGGGAAAATTTCTATAATGTGCATGAGTAACATGCTACAACCACAGCACGAGGTGCAAGAGATAACAGTATTGGATGTTGTATGCTGCAACAGTACTGCCAGTTGACGAGGCGAACAGGGCTTCAAAATGCAAAAGGCAGAATGTACTGCAGCTCACAATGCTGAATTCAAGCGGCAGCCCATGCAATCATCAAGCAGCTGCACAACAGTCAAATGCAAAGCATAAGAACCTCGACTCTTCAGTGCGACATACAGAATTGTGCGGTCTGGCCCAACTATCTTTATCTCCCTTGAACCAATACATGCTGTGTGGCGACAACGCACCGAACAACACCTGCATGTAGATTTCAGTTTTACAAGCAGGGAGTGGCATCCTGATGGACAGCCCTCATACCTGGGTTTCTGGGGTGGGTAGCTCCTCTTCCTGGTTCTGAAAAGCAGATATGAGTTGCACTTTGTCAGAAATGGATAGAACAGCTGTTGTTCATATCCCATACCAGCAACACAAGTTGGGTCCTGTGTAATGCATTTGGGAGCCAGGTTAAAAGAAAAGCAAAGCACTGAAATGCATCGAATGGTCGAAATACATCGAAGCCAGGATATCAAGTTTCTTTGCACAGATGTGACAGAACAAAAACTGCAGCAACACATACACTGCAGATACGATTGTTGACCGCAGCCCTTCAAGTTTTGAATTGCGCCCTTTAATTGTACACATTAACAGGAATAAACCACCATGGTGTACTTATCGTGAAAGCATGAAACACCGCCAGGCAGGAGGGAACGCAGAACTGCCCACTGATGACAAGGAGTTCTCTCCACCTTTTCTTTGTTTTTTCCCTTTCACTTGCTCTCTTCTCGATGCTGTATTGAAACAGCAGTACAAAAGGCACATATGGGTGATGTACAGTGCTTGCAGAGCCCAAAGCTTAGCCATCTGGAAAACACAAGCATTCCTTTTCCATGCTGCAACTTGAACAAATTGACAATTGCTGGCCTTCGCTGACCTCATTTTTTCTCCCGGAGATCAGCCAGTAGATTATGGTTCCTGTGCCCCCTAGCACAATTGCAAAGAGTGCCGAGACAAACGCCTGAGGAAAAGAGAGATAACAGGACCATGCGTCAAACGGAAGCAGAGCAAACCGATCAACACAGATCGAAGGAGGGGTTTCGGACAAGAAAAGCCCACTGTTACCTGTTTTGGATCACGTCCAGCCCAGCCCCCTCAACCCCCAACCCGCCACCCTTCCCCTTCACAGACGATGATACAGCTACTGTCCACCATATGCACACATGCAGAGAGCTGAGATCCTGGGACATTCAATTGACACACATTGATATGTGACCTTTCTGCACCCATCGCTGTTTCAGGTGCAAGGGCTGTGTCATTCTTAGAAAATTGGAATGACAGGATCTTCACCAGGCCCTTCCTCAAACCCAGACCACCCCTTCCTACAAATCTGCGTGGGCCTTTGCACTGTGACTCAGCCAGCGTGTCCACCTGCCTCATTTCAGCCCACACAACGCAGGTCTGGCCAGATCACACCCCAGCGCCTCACCCATGGACACTCCAAGGCGACCCACAACACACTACCCCGCGCCATGTGATGTGCATGCCGTACATGCACCCTGTTGCACTGCGATTCACTTCGTATCCGCACAGCTCTGACCCCCGTAATCCACACCGGGCGCAGCCCCACGGACACACAACCCAGGCCACAGAACCACGCACCCCACAAAACGTCCCATTTCCGCATATTGCCTATTCCGCCCAGAACCAACCCACGCCGCAACAACCGATCCATGGTCCACAGAATTCAGGCCCAACTGGGCAAACCCTGGTCCAACAATCCCCCGGTCGTGCACGGCGCCTGTGCCCACGCCACAGCGAGCCCCACCTGCTGCCTGTACCTGCCAAACCGCCTTGGTCCCGCCGATACAATATCCGCAGGGCCCCCAAGCCCTTGGGAGCACCTGTCCCACGTCGGAGCCCGCCTTCCTCTGTGGTCAATCGAAGACCAATCCAAGCCCACAAGGCAACGCAGCCATGCCCCGCGAGACACTGCGCCGCAGCAAAACATAGCCCTGACCTGCGAAGGGCGGCCCCTCGGGCCAGCTCGCGAAAACAGTGGCCATGCCTCAAAAATGGCCCGCCCATGGGCCATCCCACGAACAAAATAGTCCTGCCCCGTGAATCTGCGGCCCGACCCAACTGAACCATCTGCCACAGCACGCCGCAATATATTCGTGGCGAGCAACCGCCCTGGAGCTATTTCCCCACGTCGGAGCACGCCCTTTCCTTTGGTGAAGCACAAACCAACCTACCAGAAAACACACGCACACGCGCCACGAAAAACCTACCCTAAAAGAACCACAAGAAAGAACAGCAACTGCCCACGAAAAATCAACCCATGAACCAGCCCACCAGAAAAACATACCCATTCGCGACAAGAAAACGACCCACAAATCAGCACACACGGAACACACCATGCGCCGATGAACACTCTCAACCCACAAGAGAACACGCCAATGCGCTCAGAAAACCCGACCCAGAAACCAACCCGCATTAAAACACACCCTGCCACAAAATCCCGGCCCCGACCAAGCCGATCCAGCAGCCCCACCTGCCTCAGCGCGTCGCCCCCTCCCCGCTTGTCCTCCTTGCCAGGCCGCACCACGGCGCCCACATCCGCGCGCGGCACGGGCTGCCCCGCCCGCAGGGCCTCCGGCGGGATCAGGAACCGCGACAGGACCATGGCTGTCACGGCCGGCGCCGATCGACGATACGCTGAGCCGACGAGCAGACGAGACGACGAACGGAGGAACGGACGAGCGGCGGGGTCGATCGGATCGCCGATCGGTGTGGGCTGCTGACGGCCTGATTGAGAATGGGGAGGAGTGCCCGGGGGGCGGGGGAGGGGTTTGTGGGTGGCTGACGGGCAAGAAGCTGTGGAGAAGAGAAGGGTGGAGAGGCGGTGTCTGCGGGTGGCGCGGGCGATGGGATGGCAGGGGCGCCGGGCCAGCAGTACATTGTGCCGGGGGGGGAACACCGGTGTTCGAATATCTCCAAGGGATACGGGAGAGATGAACTAATACACCTCCCCTTGAGACCTGTAGCCGACCAGCCGGTTTCGCGGATTCGGGGGTGCGAGGTACAAGGTGGGGGTGTGGCGGCTGATGGGCAAGAAGCGGTGGAGAAACGGAAGGGTGGGTATTGGGCTTGTGTCTGTCACGGGTTTGGTGGTTTGAGGTGGGGGCAGGTGGTACACTGGCGCCTATACTGCATTGTGCACGCTGGAGCATCAGTTGGTGTTTTCAGTTGTTAGGGTGTGGACGATTTGGGTTGTTTGGACTGCTCACCGTTGGCCCATCCGGCATGGACCCCTCGCACCTTTGGTCCGGTAGTGGCTGTGGTCGCTCCCACCGATATCCCCAAGCTTACTACTTTGGGTAACTATACAGTAGTGTAAGTACATACTATATTACAGTCACTGTAATATGCATGTAAGTGACAACAACTGCACTGTGCATTTGTTGCTGCCTACTGTATTACAAGGCAGGTAGCATGACGTTGCCCAACCACGAGCCCAATCTGAAGAGGCGAAGGAGAGAAGTGGAGATCAGGAATGTGGACCAGGAGCCACTGACGTTGTCAAATTCCAGCAGGGACGTGGGCCCGCCCACGGAAGTGTTGTGGGCCTATGCAAGTCAATTACAACTCTCAAGACGAAGGGATTTCGGAGTGAGTCGATTAACCCAGAGTGTATTGGTAATATCTGGTGTGCAGCAGTCGGTCATGGTATGAGTGCACAGACCAATCCTTTCAACCTCGTCCACCGCGTCTTTAACAAGCAAAGAGCGTCGTTTAGCAGTTGCACATGACTGCAAGGGAGCGCTACAATTAAGGCTGGCTGTCGATGCTTTGTAGAGTGTCAAGTTTGCTGTGATGATAGATTGATCTCGGTCGAAATGCCGGAATTTCAATCACAATTTCTGCGCTTATTTTTTTCGATGCCCTGCTTGATAAGGTGCCACTGATCCACCAAAGCTAAATGATCGGCAAGAACGGTATGGATCTCGGTTTCCCTGCATCTGGGCAGTCCTGGAGCTGTTGCCTCACAGGCAGCATGCCTTTGGACGGGAATCACAAGAACTGAGCGTATTGAGCGCCGTTCAGAGACTGAGGCATAGACTTGCAGAGATTGAATACATGAACTGTCGGTTAGGTATACAGCAGTGCAGGCGATTTTGTTGCAGATGCTTTCAGTTGCGAATGCGATGGACAGACACCAGCGGGCCGAAATCGGACATACCATGTGGAGAAACCCAAAACCGTATTTGATGGTTCGCCATCGTATATGAAGATATTGGACAGGTGTCGGTGTTCACTTTCGTACATGAACAGGATGAACAAGTGTGTGGCAGAGGCGATGGGCTGCAGAAGATGCCGACCTTGCTGATGTACAGAAACTATGCAATGCGCGTCGATTACTTTCTCACCATTGATGACCTTTTAGCACACATCAAAGACCAATTTTCAAGCACGTTGTCCCACGACACGCGGATTGACGGGCGGTGTCCGTTCAAGTGGGTAACAGCCACTCCGTTTCTGCCTGCCTTGCGATATCATCAGATGGCGACGTGCATTAATATCGCATACTCATTTGCAATGCCATTGCTATGGCCACATATCATGATAGACCACGCAGAAAAGTGATTTGTTCAGACACACTCGCAGACGATTAAATCCTGCACGAACCCACATAAATATACCAGAAGAAGATTCGAAACAACTTCACGCATTTCATGCGAATTAAGTTTGCCTATTGAGCACTTGCGCAGCTATCTTCAAGATCACTCATCCATTTCTCAAACTCCTCGCAGACCTCACCAATGGAGGGTCTTTCACCGGCAGTACAGGCAATGCAACTTCGCATTAGCTCCAGCATCTCTTGCGGGCATTGGCCATCCTGCACCTCGGCCGGCTCCTCGCCTGAACACTTTGCCGCCATGACGGCCATCTCTCGGCCGCCGGCCGATGCATATGGTCGCTTCCCCGTGACGACCTCGTACATCACCACCCCGAGGCTGAAAACGTCCGACGCAAGGGACAGCGGCTTCTTGTCGTAGAACTCTGGTGCAATGTACAGCCACGACCCACCATCGCCCCTGGCCGTCTTGCTCCGCGTCTTGGTGTCCTCAATGGTGAGACCAAAGTCCGATATCTTTACCGTACATGTCTCCAAATCCTCCCCGAAGACAAGAAAATTGGAGCTCTTCACGTCCCGGTGGATGAGCTGCGGGTCCTGCATGTGCAAGTGCCTCAGGCCAAGGGCAGCCTGATACAGCGCTCGCCGCTTCACAGGCCATGTCAGTGCCACCCGGTGGCGGAAGGTGGTCAGGTCACAGCAGGCCAGCTGCATCACCATCTTGCCGGATTTGGTGATGCCGTACAGCTGGGTCACGTGCTTGAAGGTGAGGGACGCCTGGGTAGAAGCTTCCCTGAAGAACGACGCAAACTTTTCGAGGCAAACTTCGTTGTTGGCGGGGACAACGTCCTTCACCGCCACCGGCACACCCTGCCACTTGCTCTTGTACACATTGCCGCCGCTTCCCGCGCCGATTTTCTCCTCCCGTTGGATATCGTCGTCGCATATAATTTGCAGCCCTTTCAGCGTCGATTCGTGGTCGTCTTTCACAGCTTGCCAGTCGCGCTCCAGTTCGAGGGATAGTTGCTTGCCTTCGAGCACGTAAGCAAGGAGCATGTACAGGTGGTGCTTGTCGGCGTTGACAACATCCTCAGGAATCTTCTGTTGCAGATGCACGTGGTCTTGCAGACCTCGATCTTCCAAGTAGTCCAACAGCTCGACGCAAATGCCCTCTACGGCGTGCCGAGCGTCGTTGATCTTGTAGAACTTCGCGAGCTCAAAGCGCTGGTGTTTGGCCAACAACCTCTCACCCTTCTCAATTGCACTATCGTATCTTTCCAGCCTGTCTCCTGGTTGATCAGCAAGATTCCTGACCTTTTTGGCTTTCTTCAGTTGCTCCTCCAAAAAGCGCATCATGGCTTGATTGTATTTCAGTTCATTCACACTTGGCTGCAGCGACACGCATATCGAGTCACACATTAACTTTCGTCCACCACTGCATGAGACGAAGCAATGTAAAGTGTGAGCTCATGTGGGTTGGCCATTAGTACTACTCATATCCGTAAGGCAGATTGCGGGGTCACCCCAATCGTCAAGCCAATGCCCAGGCACTCAGCTCGGCAGATCGCGAGGCAGGATGACACTCCCAGAATGTTTTGAATAACGGTCGCTGGCATGAATGTGTCCAAAACATGCCCCTCACAACACACCACGCACGAAATAAACCAACTAAACAAGAAGTCCAAAATACAAATGTACATTGAAGTAGGATTGTTGACGCCCCGGACAAAATTGGAGCCAAACAAAGACACATCCCAACAGGCTGTGCAAAGCAGCCCAGCCAGCATGCAAACCATTACTATTCGTGTAGTCACACAATCGAGATCTGAAGGCAGGATATGCAAGCCACATTTTTTTAAACGTAGGCGAAGGGCATCTTTTTCCCACCCTTCTTAGCCACCACAAGGTAAACGCAGCGATCATGGCCATCAGAATAGCTGGGACCTCAGCAAATCCCTGCAGCACAACAATGATGTTTGAGACATTCTTAGCCGACTCCAGCATGACTAAAAAGTAGGCTGATACCAGTAACGTTGATGATTGGGAGCTATTATCTGGGAAATCAGGCAATAAAACTCTGCAATACTAAATGGACTGCTTTTCCGTTGCCTTTTGGGTGGTGCGGCCATAGCAGAATGTGCTCGAAAAAAGATGAATCTGAACAGAGCACACTCAAAAAATCTGAGCACCAAGTTTTATGACTGAAACTGCTTTCGTTCCCAAACATGGTCCGTGTGGAAAGTTTCCAGATAGCTCAAAACTGCATACACTGCAATGTGCGCATCATCATTCAACTTTTCTGCACTTACGCAGTCAGATCTAGAGAGTGATGTCAACGCCAAGGCAACAAAATTAGAAGCACGTAAAGAAGGTGCGATTGGATGCTCGTTGCAGGCCACACACCTTCGTTTCCTCTGTCTCTTGTGCACTTTCAATGGCAGGAACGGGCTCGACCTCCTTGGGGGGTTCATGAGTACTCTGTGGCAAGCCACGGCAGTGCAATGAGCTAATGGCACAACAGCGCGAAAGGTAGTACGCTACTTGGCATAAACAGATATAGGAAATACCACAAATCAACAGCGCGTGCGCAATGCGTGTTACGCATCACATTCAAAATCCAGATCCCAATCCTTAGACTGGTCTCAAACGACTCAAGCGCGGTGGGCGAATGACTCCCTGCTTCCCGGTATTGATCGTCAGCTTTCTTCGCACACCCATTGCATGAATGGCAGGGCTGTGGAAAGTTGTAGTCACTGTCAGCAATCATGTGCCCAGCTTTTCACATTGCTATTTCCCAGCACACATCAGAAGCTGTTTGACCCGGTTCACGTTCGCAAGCTATCCCGCCCATGATGTTCCGTATGAGCCCCTCCACTGAGCGGCTCGTGCAGCATTTTGGCCAGAGCAGAAAGATTATAATGCGACTGCATAAAAAGCTATGCAGGACTAACCGCTCCAGCCAATTAAGTTTGCATCTTTGTTGTTCCACAGGCAACCGCGTCATACAAGGCGACTTCAAAAGCCCAAACCCCCTGTGGTCGTCTTGAACAGCGAAAGGGACACAATGCGTCTATTTGGAAAACGCAATCAAACCAGAGTCAGACGTACCTCGGGGTGAACAATTGAGAAGATCCATGGCCAGATATCTTTTGTCCGCGCCATTCCCGTGCCCCTGTAGGATGTGACAATTGATGTACTTCAGGAACTTGGTAATGCTCACGAATGCAGCAATCACAAGCCTCACTGCGTCGGTGCACCCATGCTCACACCATTGCAACAGGAGAGGGATAGCGGAGGGCTGCTGACCAATAGAGCGCTGAGGTATACCTCACGACGGCTTACGTAAGCCATCAAGTACAAAGTGACAAATGAGGTCATGGTATACCTGTTGTAGTCATGCGACTCGTTGCCGTGCGACATAATGCCCACGAGGAGGTCCAATCCCGGGGTTCCCTTGTCAACGTATCCGAGATTGTTGGGGCCATTCGGAGTGTGTAGGATGAGCCCTGGGCCTCCAGCGTGCCCTGCGGTGTAACAATTCAGACTTGATAACGTCGGGCAGAGCGAGAAATACAGGGCGCAATAAGTGCGCACAATTGTAGGGTCAGGGGAAGCGTCAAAGTCCAGCGTTAAGGCTCGGAGACGGCGGAGATCCGCAATGGTGGCATTTTCGAAATACTACGGAGTGGCCCCATCTTCCCCATCAAGCGACGTTGAGCACATTACTCATGGGAATCCATCTGGGTGCGAGACTTGCGCAGCTTTTGGCCGTTCGCAATCGTCAAGAGTTCGATGCCCGAACGTATCTTCAGTTCCATTGTGAGTGATGAGTACATAATGTACTCACAATGTACTGTGCATTGTTTACTGCTCGGTGCACAGCCACTTGCAATGGAACGTCGAACAGGGCCTGGCACATCAGGGGGCGGTCATACGCCCCGCACTCCTTACCTTCTTCCAGTTGCGTGCTGTACGAGAATGCGCACAGCATATCTGGCGCCAGACCATTCAGACCTGGACACAGGTGGTCCTCTACGATCGTCATCTCTGCCATTTGAAGGTGTCCGCCACGGTCGTACAGGCCACCTTCATCGTATAGGCCAAGCACAAAGACGCGCATGGAGCAATAGACGTGGGATTTGGGGGCAGCCAGGGCAGGCCCAGTAATGTTCACGCGCTGGGGCAGGCGCAACATTGCAGCGTCCCACCCATCCTCAACGTTGCCAGTCCATTTGGGATGGATTTCGGCATCCTCCACCCTCATTGCCTTTCACAGCGAGCCAAATCAGTATGATTGAATTGTTTTATACGCATAATTTTTGCACGAAACAATGAACTATAACTATCACTGAAATTTCAACAATTTGAATGTCCTTTAACACATTCCAAGTACCAAATTTTCGCGGACAGGCACAAATTCTCTCGGGTGCTATATCTTGGGTACCACATCTGCTTCAATCTGAGATCTTCTGGAAGCCAGAACTCACACACAAGAACTGCAAGAGAAATGGCATTGGCCGCGGTATTGACCGTGGTATTGGCCGCGAATGCACAAATCATAGCCGGACACAATGTAGCAATGTCCGTCCCTGGCACCTGTGACATAATTGGTACCAGCATTCCACTAATTTCTGGCCACATTCAGGTCACAGAATCACTGTCAAGCCACAACACTTATTGTGTAGTGAACAAATAACAACAATTTCCAAGTGTAAACACCTGGCAGGAAAATACTTAACACGTCAATACTGGGAGTTTGTTCCATATACCTGTGCGCCAGGATGCCAACTGGTGGCAATTGTGCCTTCTGGGCTCAAGAACATCACCAAAGGGTTTGGGCCCACAGCCTCGATGCAATGCGCGGCAGTGAGCACCCACGCGCCTTTGATCACGATGCCACTGCACTCATGGTTGAAGCTATTGTCCCTGATGCTCACAAAATAGTTAAATCGGACTGCAGCTTCGGGCGCCACAATCCATCCAGCCTGCCAGAATTAAAACACTATTTCAGCGACTCCACAACAATCCAAAAAGCCAAGTGCAGTAAGGCTGCATAACCCGTGCTGCTGCGCTTCACCACAGCATGTGCGCAGCATCTTTGTAACTTCCATGGAGTTCACACACAACATCCATGCATGAATCACGCAGCTCCGATGGGACTTCTGCATATATCTGGAAAGTATGTGCACAATCAGCGGAGCCACCTGCTGCACACAACATCTGTATAAAACATATCCCAGGGAGGCCCAGAGAGCGCCGCAGAATGTGAAACGCACTGTACATCCTGCACGACAATCTGCATCCTCAAAACCTACCTTTTTCAGTTCTATCTCGTCCCATGTGAATCTCCTGTGGTCAAAATCTGCAAAAAAAAATCCACACACAAAATTCGGACTTCACGTGCACTTCAAAGTAAATGCTATTTCATCCCAAGGAATGTCCCAAGCTCTGGTTGCAAGTACAAGGAATTCGCCGCAATTTAAGCTACACTAAGCAACAATAAGACCAAAGTGCAATCACATGAGAAATAGATATTCCAATTAGAGGAAAGGAAAACATAAAACCAAGGCTGAAGCAGAAGAAACGGCATTTTACTGCGCCGTCAAGACAAACATGCTGCTGGCAAAGTGCCAAGTAACCAAGTAACCACGTAGGTACTTGATCGGTACAAGTCGCATTGAAATTTGCGATTTGCAACTTTCTTGCCCAGGACGGGCGCAGTGCCTAAGACTGTACTTTTTGTGTTCCTGCATCTGTCTGGGGTTACAAGTGCATGTAAGCTTGGCTAATTTGATGCACACAATCCATCAATGCGGCAACTGCTGTACACAGGACCCTTGCAGCATGGAGGTCTTGTTCATTTCCCTTGTTTGCATCACTGAGGGTAGGCAACATTGCTGATAGTAGAATTCTTTATGCTCTGTGTCAGTTCGAAGCTGGCTGCAAGCTTGCATTGACGACTCCGACATCACAGCAAAAGATATGAATATTTAACTGGAGATCCTGGGGAAGTGCGTTCACTACATGAACACTGAGTTTGATCCAAAGGGGTGATCAAAATGGAAAAGAGAAATGCAAGATTCAGCCAATGTTGTCCAAATACCGTGGATTGGGTTTCAATACAACATCCTTTTTACCTATAAGCCCACAACCGGTAGCATTGTGGTCACCTTCCAAAGGTTGCAGGGCTCCTGGCGACTCTTCCACAAAGGAGACGTCTGTGGGTCTCTCTGTCTGCAGCCCAAACGACAGCGCCATCGTGGATACAACCACGGCGATTTGTGCGATTCTTCCCCATGGCCAACTGCAGGTCTCTCGGCACCGGTGCGCCTGCATGAACGTTTGCAAGCTGCCCTGACCTCGGCACAGGGCACAGTTAGGCGTACACGCTAGTAGCAAACAGCATGCTTGCGATGCCATTTTGACAGAAATTGATGCGTCACAGCCACTTTTTATGCCATTACAATCACTGTGATGGCATCATTTTGTGTCAAAATGGCATCGCAGTTGGCATCGCAAACGTGCGGTTTTTGCCAGTGACAGCAGGCCTCAAATCAGCATTGGATTTACATGACCAAAGTGGACAATGTGCTGCCCTTTCGACACCCTCCGAGCACGGTGAGCACATGGCCAGGTGGGCAATTATCATCGGCATCTACTCTTGAGATTAATTTTCCCCAATTGCTAATCAAATTTTGGTTTGATGATTGCAATTTGCTGTACAATTATTTTATTGGACAAATTTTTCCTCTGCTGTCTCGGTTTCTTCTCGGTTTTCCAAGTACCAATATGTCTGACAGGGTGTCAGCGGCTCTACCAACGAGAACTAGATGTCGAGCGCGGGTTACCGTTTCCTGCACAAACTATCCTCGCAGGGTGTTTGCGACTCTTCTGCACTTGAGACCCTGCGTGGGACATTTACAAAAATTGACCAAGAAATTGTGGAAATTACCCGAATGAACAAAGTTCTCAATGGAATGAAACGAGAGAACGTGAGAGGCAATTGGCCAGTACTAAGTTTGTACTAAATTTGTCGTTGTCCTAACATCGCCTATATCGCTGATGCGCGATTTCCAGCAATGCGATGACAATTCTGTGCTGGAAATGGACGTCACGACAACCTCCTTTTCGATTGCAGTGTCCTATACCACTGTCCCCGGGCCCACGCCTCCGCCCAGGGCTGCACTGCACCCGTCTGGAGACTGCATCCTCTACGGAACTCCCAGGGAGCCCTTGCGGTTAGGTTCTACCCGCACGTTGGATCGCAATCCACCGCCGCAGCCGCGTTGGCCTCAACCGACGCGAGGACCCCTGATCGCATTCGAAATTCTCGGCATGCGGTTGTGCGCCGCGCTGCTGTTGTGATGGCGGAGGTCCACGTCCCAGCCCGTGGTCGCGCTCAAGCACACCCACCGGCTCGGCGGCAACAATGCATACAAACCCCTTGACTCACTCCTGGGCCGGTGAGTGGGCTGGTTGCCAGGACGCCTCGCCCTTGGGTGGGCCGGTGATTGCATCCAGCGCCGCTGTCGCCGTGCCGATGGCTACCACGGCCGAGAGCGTTTCAAGGAAACGGAGCCGCTCCGCTCCCCGTCGCCCGGCCCTCGCGCGGGCTGCGACTTTGCCCGTTGAGTTTTGCGACATGCATGACCAATACCCATATGGGTATTGCCTTCGTGGCAATCGGCCCTTGCGTCGGTTGTATTTTCCGCCGCCACTACGCAGGAACGCGCCGGAAAACGCGTCTCGAGCGAAAGCGGCAACACTCCCACCCACGCACTCACGTGCCCTCAGTCCACGAGGGCACCCACCAGCCAAAAGCGGCAACGTGACGCCCGCAGCACACCATTCAGGCGGTCCCATTCCTCACGTAACCCCATCGTCATAGGGGTGGAATCATTACCCGACGATTCTGACATTGATTTGGAAAATCGCGTTGCCAGCCCCGTACAGGCTGGGCTCCGAGCGTATAGTATTAGACTCTTCACGAGCCGCCACAGCTGGCTGGACTTTACTTTTATTTCTGATATAAGTGCTGTGTGCTTGCATCCATGGCAGATAACCCGGGCGGGGGGACGGAGGGCGCTGCCAGTAGTCCCATGCGCGAGACCACCCCACAGCCCCCACGAAAGCCGACCGCGGGGAGTGCCCGTGGCACGCAGGCACACCGACAAGGGCCTGGCCCTCTTCAAGGAGAAGGAAGGAGACCCATCCCTGCAGTCTATATGATACAATGGCCTTCACCGCCTCGCAGGGCGGAAGCTACCAAGCGTGATTTCCGTACCGCGACTATGGAAGGCCAGCGGGGAACAAAGCCCGGTAGCACACGGCTACGGCAGGCCGCCCTGGGGCAAAAATGCTTCAAGGCAGCTCGAGCACGTCAACTTCGGGCAGCTCGATGTGGCGCAATGGCAGCCCGACCCGGCCCGCAGGTCAAACGCGGACCGAACGAAACCGGTCCCGACAAAATGTTCGAATCGCCAGCACCTTTGCCTGACGCAGCACTCGCCAGTCAGCGCCGCAGCCACCAGGGCAGTCCATGTGCTTCGGCATCTCGTCGCCTGCGCCGCCGATTTTTCCAATCGCGGGATCCGCCATCAATCACTCTCGCGATCAGCGCGGACTGCCGGGCCGGTGGCAAGATTGATGGAACCCCTCCAGGTGACCACGGGCCAGATCGAGGCGCCGCTCGCCGACGCTGCGCTTACCGTTGCTCTCTTTGCGACTCTGCGTGCAGTGGCCTAGCGGGGCAAGTCTCCGCGGCTGCTTGACGTTTGCTCGCTATGCTGTCAAGGAGCAGGTCGAAGTTGCTCTCAGCAATGGGCGCCGGCCCATTTGTACCGCGTACTTCTTCGCGAAGCGGCGGAGAACACGCGGACCGCCATCCCGGGCCGGTGGCCCATGTCCGGCGACCCCCACCAACTTCCTGGGTGCTTGGTGAGGAGCTTCCGCCGAAGTTGGAAAATGGATCAGTCTCTCACGCGTGGCGTAGTTCTGGAACCGATACCGCATCGATACCAAGACGGATGCAAAGCCCTGCCGGGGGTCGAGGGGCGCCAAACGCTGACGCAGTGTTTTAGGGCAGTATGTTCGTTGTGAGGACGAGGGAGAAGTTGATAGGTGATTATGTGATATATGGTGTTTCGTGGTGAAAAGTAGATATGGTGGACATGGTATTATGTTATGGTAAAACGTACATGGAGACAATGGAGACCGGAAATGAATATGTTGACAGCGACAGTTATTAGTTCGTGGATCATCCTGTAATGCATCTGGTTACGACTTTGACTCCCATGCCCAAGAGCGACCGTGTGAAAGAGTCACGGTTTCTGCCATATTCGTGATCGACATATATGCAGTCGAAAGGGCTGAAGCTCTGCCAAAATGCAGAAAATATGGCCACTTGGGCATAAAGCTATATGTGGACACCTCAGGACGCCCCAGGACCTGGTCCGGTTATGGAAAAAGAAAAAAATAAAAACTTCCGGTACCCCACGTCCTGGACGCGGTCCTGGAGGCCAGGACCTGGGCATAAATACCCCATTCTACTACTTATGTGATGACAGATAAAACTGGGTGCAACGTTCTTGATGGTCCTTGCCTCACAATCCACTTGACCTTCCAAGGCAGAAGCCTCGTTTGCGGAATAGGAAGGCAACCCCAGGCATTTAAACCGAATGACCCCGTCGTGCTACTGACGGTCGTGAGCCCTTGTCGCATCTCCAGAGGCTCGATCGATGCCACGATTGCCTGTGCGGGCCAGTGCCTGATGTGGTCAAATACTTTACACCATGCATCGATTCATTAAACGGACCCTGCCGATTGGGCGCTGTTCACAGGAAGACCATACAGCCAAAGGGACTTGACCGGGACCATAGCCTGCACGTGAGGCACGCACAGCAATGCTACGAATTTTGGAGAGACTCCAAGAGATTTGTTGGACAAGTTCCCGTCTGTATTTTCACATCCAGTTACATGTCTGATCATTGTTGCCAAATCGCATCGAGAATTTGTGGGTTTTGACAATCCCATTCTTGATTGACCACAGCTGGAAACCTCGAAATGACTAGCTCATTACTGTAATTGCTTTCCATGGATCCATCCCTACACAAATTGCTGCAAGGACAATCGCGCCTTTTGGACAACGGAACGATTTCAGTGCTCTACTGGATATCATTTGCCAATATCTGGCATTCTATGGGTAGCTCACTGGCTGTCAACGTGCCTGCCTATGGGGGCGCCGTGAATTATGGAAGCCATTTTTTCGCTATGTTTTCCCCTCCGTTGTGTTCATAGTATGCAGTGCATACCTGTGGGATACTGCATCTGAATTTAGGATTGATGCTATGGGAAATATCTACGTATTACACGCAGTACATGGTGATCCGCCACTGCCGCATCATTTTTGAAAACTTGCTTGCCCAGGCTGCTTCATGTTGTGCATCTCGCTGATTTGCAAACGTAGAAAAGAATGACATGCAATGGTCACCAGCAACTAGCAACGCAGTGTCGACAGTTATTGTGCATAATGTACTTCCTCCGTCCGGAAATAAATGAAACAGTTTGTTTAAGGGTCTATATTTATATCACGAACTTGTTATTTTTCCTTCAAAATTGGACCAAAGCACTGCCTACACATTTACTATGTGGTGCCAAATTTTTGTGGACAATGGATAAGTACCGGCTACATGGCAGTACTTTGAACCCTTGTGATTCAGGCCAGAAAGTCGAGGTTTCTCAAGGTCTGGCCGAGCAGCCCTCAAAACAGGTCCTTGACCAGGTCGCCTTGCGACTGACGATGCGCAGCCCAGAGTGGATATCGGTTGCTGCCGTCTTGGTGGCAGGTCGACACCGTCCCTACCAAAGGAGGAAGAGCACGAAACCGGGTTCTGTACCGCTCGATCCTTGATCGCCACCGTGGTTTTGATGGCCTTATGAGGACAGCAGCTCCGGATCGGAGACCCAGAAATCTGCGAACCTCACAATCACGGCGTTTGTAGAAACGGCCCCCACCATGGGCGAGGACGCCATGGGTTCTAAGACCACCACGGAAGGTTTGGGAGATTGCGATCGTGCCCTCGCTGCGTGGCAGCCAGAAGATCGTTGAAACTGGCTGTGGTGGGCACGTGCCATGAGAAACACTTTGCGCGCCATTCACGCCGCTTTCAAGGGCGCTGCTGCAACTAAGCTTTGCCCGTGCTATTGAAAGACGTAAGAACGCCACCATAGCAACACGTGGGGTCTTCAATAGAGCTTCCAAACCCTCCATTGTTATGTTTGGCAGGGTTGAAACCTGTTTGGAAAGAGGGGTTGCTTGCACTTAATCGGAGATCTATGCTAAACACAGAGCTTATGTTGCGCGCAAATATCCTGTGGCTAGTCTTTAGCCACTAGGAGACCTCTAGGCAGTGGGGGATCCCAGGAATGTCGGTGTGCTGCTGTGGAAGATTGGGGGGATTTCGAGCATCCATCGATGGCGGTACGCAGACATAGGTGCCAATTCCGTCGATCGTGCGTTGCGAAGGGTGTCGATCTTTGGGCTAGAGCCCGAGCGCCAAGGCAACTCCACCCTTCTGTTACTTTGAAGGCCACTGGAAAGGGCATCACTCGTGCGCCGCGCTTTCCTGGGTCCGGGGCGCTAGGTTTTGGTGGGGTGGGGACTGACTGCGAATGTTCAAATTCTGGTGCTGAGTCGCTTGGCTTCAAAGTACTACCATATGTCTGAATCTCATCTTCTATCGATAAATTTTTGACAGGATTGACTAAACACATAGTAAATACGGTGGTCCAATTTTGAAGGAAAAATAAAAAGTCCATGATAAAAATGTGGTCAGTCAACAAATTGTTTCATTTAATTCCGGACGGAGGAAGTACATACTACTTGTGTATCGTAAACTTAGATGATGATAATGTACTGTACAATTTACTCCCATTGTGCGTTGTGTTGTAGAATGGCATGCACCCTTGTTATGAGTCTTCGAAGACACGTGTCCAAAACAACAAGACACTACCCTTGCACATGCAACTGCATGTGCAAGGCGACGGCGGGCAAAATTCATCTGCAGCGCATTGCTCCCACGCCAGGCGTGGAATCCTTAATGCGCATTGGCGCCCAAGGGGGCATGTGAAGCTCCATCACCGATGCTGGATGAGGGCGAAGGCGAAGGCAACCATGTACGGAGCAAACTTACGCCTGCTTCACATAGCAAGTAATTAAATGTTGATACAGTAATAAAGTAAAATAATACCGCGCTCGTCTGCATGGGTGGTATGTCCCGAGGCAAGGGACCCGCATTGCGTGGTAGTCTGCTGGTGTGACAAAGCTGGGTGCAGGCAGATGGCATTTTGGCTATTTGGATAAATGTGATTAACGCGATTCGGCATTGACAAAGAAACAAGCTGGACTTTCGCGTTGACTACAGGCGTCATAATATGGCACGCCATTGCCCATAGATGGAATGGGCCACGTCTGCCACTCAACACCACAATTTGCTGCGGTGCTCCTGTCCACCAAAGAGTAAATCCGAGTACTTCCACTGTGCTCTGCATCGCAGCTGATGTAATTTTTCACTGCCCGCAGGGAAGGAAAGGCCATGCACAGCATGCACACACTCGGCAAGGTTTTCCAATCCATGCTTGATGACGACGCTATCGACGCCATACCTGGCAAGGCCAACTGAACGAACTCGAAGCATCCCAGACTCAGCATAACCAAAAACATCTCTAGCATTTTGGCCATCCTACTGGCCAGGTGCCAAATCCGCAGGTAGCTGGGACAGGCATTGGACGACATCCTTCATCGTGCGCCTGTCACCAGGTTCCAAGGCGCAGCATCTCCTCATCAGCTCGCGCAGCTCATCAGGGCAGTGGTGCCTCTCCACCACGCACGGCGCCTCTCCTTTGGCCTTCTTGCCAATTATCGCTATCTGCCTGGTGCCAGGGCCGTACAGCGGTAGTCTCGTCACCGCTGCATGCATGACAAGGCCGAAGCTAAAAACGTCCGACTGAAGTGAGGGGAGGTCACCATCAAAGAGCTCAGGTGCCTGCCACAGGGGGGTGCCTTTGGCGCCTCTCAAGCTCTTTGTCGTCCAGTCCCGCAACTCTGTCGTCAAACCAAAGTCAGCGAGCTTCACATCGTATTTTCCATCGCCCACTTTGATGTACAAGTAGTTCTTGTCCTTCATCTCCATGAATCAAGGGGGGCTGCATGCTGTGCATGTATTCCAGCCCAACCGCCGCCTGCTGCAGCAAGTCCAGTCTTGGTAACCAAGTCAGAGCCATGTCGCTGAGAATTGTGCTCAAGTCGACGTCGGCCAGCTCCATTAGCATCCAGCCAGATTTGGTCATCCCAAACAATTGGACGATGCAGGGGTGGTTTAGCGTTGCATGAGTGGACACCTCCTTGAAAACATCAGCAAAAATTCAATTGTCAAGTCAGGGCTGTCACCAACTGATGTGATCTTCTTGACAGCCACCTCAGAGCCCTTCCACATTGCTTTGTGCACTTGGCTGTAGCCACCAGTGCCTGTATTCTTGCCCACATGAACCTCCCTGTCAACTACAACGTGGAGTCCCTTCAACTGCTGTTCGTGCCGTTCTCTGATAGATTCCTATTCCTTCCAGAACACCTCCTTGTCGCCAAAATCGCAATGTTTTCCCTTCAGCACATATGCCAGGTGTGCATACAGGTGCTCTCTGTCCATCTCAATGCACTCTTTCGGTATTTCCACTTGGATCTGACACACTTTGTTCCGAAGCTCGAGGGCATTCACAAGGATATCCCTAATGTCCCCACACAACATTTGGATGCACAGCATCATCAACTTTGCAGAAACGTGTTATATCAAATGGCATTGAATGCTTTTTAACCATTCCCTCCCCTTGCCTCAGTGCACCTGCCAGCAATGCGGATGTCTCATCTGACAAGGAGTTCGATTGACAGAGGTGTTGGACATGTTGCATGTGCTGCCTTAGGAATTGCATCATGTTTGAGTGGTACCTCAGATTTCGTGAATGTTGAAGCCCAATACCTCGATGTACATTAGAAATAGGTTAGGAGCGTCAACCAACTGTAAGCAAGTAAATGTGGTCCCAAAAGTACACAGTTGGATTTTGAGCAAACCGTGTCAGGACTGTGTCATCTGGCCTGTTTTTTACTAGTGACACCCACAAAGCAGGAATGCCATGAAAGCAAAAACTGCAGCCACACGATCACCTGAACGCTCCTTCCACTGTTGAGCCACACGATCATATGCCCGCCAATCCATGCAAGTCCACCCATCAAAACAATAGCAGCAGCCAAATGCAGGCGACTCATACAAATGTGCATGGGTCATTCCTTTTAGCCTGAGCGCAGGTGATGGTCTAAGGCAGGCAGACATGGCCACTTTTCGAGTGCAGCCCATCACTTTCCAATTTACTCCAGGGGTGGCACTGCATGCAGGCAGAAACATTTTGCTCAAGTGTGGCGGCTGTGCATCTGACCAACTTTGCCAGCGAGGGTCAAGGAAGGGCCATGCAGCACAGCAAGAAGTCGAGTTTCGAAATTCAGTCGTACAACAATTTCATTCACATGGCCTCATAAAATCAGAAGGATGCAATATAAAATGTACTTCTATATCGCTTGAAACTATCAGCTTGGTACGGTGAGAGCTACCATGCCAAGCTGACAGCTTCAAATGAGCATGGCACATAAGTGGTCTGCGACAAGGTGTGCATGTGACATAGCGTATTTTGCACAGTTCGGTGGTCTGTGAACAAGACTCAGCATTGTCACAAGATTCACACTTTGCGCCAATTTGTTACTGCAGCATCACAATGGGTGATGTGCAGGGCACTCACAGAGGGCATAGTGCCAGCATAGTCACAGTGCTGAAAACGTTTCATGTATTAGATTGACAATACTACCCCCCCAAAACAAACTGACTGAATCTCTATTCTGCCCGCTCACTGTCTCACCAAAAGTAATTCTTGCAATGCTTGTCGACTGTGCCAATGTTGTCCAAAAACAACTACCATCACCACAAGTATCTGCAAAAAGCACAAAACAATTGAGGCACAGCCCATCAACACACCTGGCTGTGGTGCAGTTGGCCCACAGCCATCCACACACTCATGCACAAGGTCCACTTATGCAACAACACCAGCTCCAGACTCAGGCCAGACTTAGTCCATTGCACACTGTCGATGCAGTGTGGGACCTTTCAACAGTACCAAACACCTTGTAAACAAAGTCCAATCCCAATATCAACTAGCGATCAAAATCCTGTGCCCAGCACAGTGACATTGGCAACAAGGAGCGATCTTGTGCCAGTAGTGCGTCAGCATGCAGCAGACAGAAGACCCAACACAAACACAGACACAAACAATCACTACAACAATCGAACATTATGACATACCAACATACCGATACAACGACAGAAGAAGCAGCTGCCCAGAATTCACCACTGTACAACTGCAACACAGTGAATGGGGGCGAATATCAGCATACACCAAAATTCTGCATCATCGTCAGTATGATAAGGGTATACTTACAGTGGGCCTGTGAATTTTGCATGGGCCCAATCGTCTTGATCAAACCAATGCAGACTGTCAACAATCTGAAAGCGAACTGGTGGCTAGCAATTATTTCTTAAGGGGGCCATTACGCTTGCCCTATAGATAGCAACAAAACTGCAAAGGAATAGCTGAATCATGCAACAAATCAATCAGTGCACTGAACATCTGCGAGTCGAGGCCTATCTTCCTCTGCTAAGCAACGCACCATTTGTAGCGCCGTGATGAGTGAAAGTAAAAAGAGAAGACAAACTGCGTAAGCCGTTGATACAATCTTGGCGGGTATCTGCGACAAGGAACAAGACTGATTCAGCTGGGATGACGTTGAAGACAGGCAGTCTGGAGCGGGCCACAAGTTCGCTGACCACTGTACTTTGTGCACGGGCAGGAGTGATGCCGAGCAGCCTGTGCCAAGTAAGGCTAACATGGTGAGAAAAGTCCGCAGCCACGGTGGGGCGACGCCTCTGCGAAGCCAGCTGATGTCCTCGGTGTGACCTGCCCATCGCGCTGCACGCAACTACGAATTGGGAAATCAATGTATTGCTGCGAACGCTTCCGGTAAGAGCTGCCGGTCAGAACCACATCACCAGTACCAAATCCGCCTGACGCGCGTTCGCAGTTGGTCGATCAGCCATCGCCGCTGGCGCCAAAATCGTCCAAGGAAGCAGCGACGTGGCAGTTCCGTGTCGCTCCCGCCGGGCAGAGGGCGGGCAGCAATCCACGCCGCTGGCTTGGGGTGGCTTGGGTGCGGTGGGTGGGGTAGGGGGGAAGGACCCACGGTGGCTTCCCCATTTGCTGGGGTTGCTCGCACCGAACTTGGTTCTCAAACCACAGCCATCGGAGGAGCGCGGCGCTTCCAGCGCATCAACCTACTAATGTAGTGTTTCAGGGCCCGACTCCACCTTGTACTAACCTTGGTCCAGTCGCCTTCCCCGCTTTGCGCCCCGGCTGTGGCACGCCTGTCGGAATCCCGCCGCGCGGTGCGCCTCTCCAAGGGGGACGGCGTGGCCACCGATGTGACTTATTGGTCTGTCCAACTCGCTCCCCTTCGGTTCAATTCACGGCAATACCCGAGTCTGGCCGGGACTGTCAGGCCAACCGCGCCCCACTGCTCAGCGCTACCCAGCGCCGCCTTTGGGGGCGCCCCACAAGCGACCGGGTGTGGGTTCTGGGCACTTCCTACTGGGTGTCCCCCCGAGGTTTCAGGACAAAACGCTGGAGGTGCGGAATAGCAGCCCTCACTATCACACCGATACCCGTATCGATACCAAGCCGAATGTTGGCTTCTGCGGAGGGTCGATGGGCCCAACATGCGGTCGTGATCACCAAGGCGTTGTGGAGGGAGCCAAACCGCTCCCAGTTGCTGAAAACATGGCCACTTGTGCAGGCGCCAATTCAAGAGAAACTGGGAATGAAATTCACGGAGGTCCGTGCCTTCATTCCAAATGATCTTCAAAGGGGGGAGGCTCGTTGGCAGGCTGGAAAGATAGCTGTATGTATTCGCACTGACAGGTCAGGTCCTGGGGTCGATGATCGTGAATCCTGGTCGATTCTTGTCTGGAACGTTCTGGACAGCAGGATGCATGTGCGCTCCAGCGCCCGAGGAGATCACAATCCTTTCCTGTTTGCCCTTATTGATGGACTTGACAGCCCCAGTGCATTGGGTGCCGTTCATTGGAAGGCCACATGGCCAAGCTGGTCTGACCCTGCACCTAAGAAACACAAAGTCGATACTGCATCACCCTTGAGCAACCACCACGGATCTGTCAGCCTTGCTGCCAGTCCGATGTCAGATCTACAGGGTCAAAACGAATTGAGGAAAATCTATTGGTTGAGTGCTCACAGCAGTCTCTCATTCTTCAAACCTACCACTCTTCCGTTTGTGTGCATCTGTAATTCAACAAACGTGTCTGGGAAAGAGAATGGCAAAGCAAGGCACCCCAACACAGGCGATTTGGAATGGGATACTTGTCAAAAACCTGCGGAATGTCCTGCATCTGATATCTTGAACCTGAAAGACAGGGGCTAACTCCAAGAGAGTTTAAGCAAATCTCTGGAGTTCTGATAGTCTACGCATGTGTCCTGTTCATTGCCACAAGGAACCAGCAGGCCACGCGGAAATTGTGCCATTGTCAGATTGGTAACAGGACCACCAGCAAAGGGGTCACAGACATGCTGACATTGCGCAGAGGAGCGCTGCAAACAACGGAAGACTCACACCCAGCCTGGCGGCTTTGAATGCATGAGCCAGGGTTGCTGCTGTCAATGAGTTTCAACTTGGCTAAATCTGTCCCATCACCATCAATAACATGACCTGGACATTTCTTGCGCAGCACAGGCTCAGTTCCTTCATTGATAACGCCAGTCCCTGCGTCCACTTCCTGGCTTTTTGCTTCAATATCTACCCAGAAATCTTGACACTGCACAGGGCATGCACTAGCCAGTATGCCAAAAACAACAAATGACCATGTCGGAACCACAAACTCCTCCACTGGGCAACGACAAGGCCCAGTTGAAGAAGGCACTGCCAGAAACCTTCAGCAGGGGATTTCTAACGCATTCAGCTTTCGTCTTCCATGGTCTCTGCTTCCCTTTCAGAAATGGCTCTACTTTGACCACACAAACGCTTCCTGCATAACAAGGTCAGCAATGCCATCAGAAATGGCTGCAACCATTTTGCGCACCACTGAGAAACTGACACAAATCCTGTCCACCTATGGGGGAAACACCTTGCCTACAAGATGCCAGCACTGCCCACAGGAACCAAGCCAAAGCAGGGGAAGAGGGATGAGGGGCCCTAGTGTGAGGCAACCAACCCCCACAAGTGCATTTGCATCAGCATTCGTGCTCTGAAAAACACGACCAGTGCAGCTGATGTGCTTGAGATGGGGAAGAAGATATCTCCACAGTGCAAAGGTGGGGACCAGTCAAGCCAAGATTCGCGCATTGTCCTTTTCTGTCGCCTGCTGTGAGCACCAAGGACTGATCCAATAAACACAATGGAATGGCGGAGGACACATGCTCGTTGAGCAAGGGCCGCTCATTCTAATACGCAACCCAAGCATCCCCATTGAGAAGTTCTTGTGAGCCCAGCAACAGCAAATGGACATGGCCCAATCACTGTGCCACACCTGTGCTCCCACACTTGCCTCTCTTCACAAGCCATATCATACTGTAGGACATGTGGAGATGGATGGATCCTTGCACCAAACAGTTCTCTTTGTGAATCACAAAATTCTGAAGCACTGTGACTGCCAGAGTTTTCTAACTTTCTGCAACTGAGGATCTTGCTTGCTGCATTTTACTTCCTCTGTCCCAAATTTGTTCTTGTCTATTTGAAAGACGAAATTCGTTACAAGGAAGGACTCAAAATTACAAAGCAGGGTCAAAATTGAAAAGACTGGGTCCTACAACCCTTCACAACCAATCATTAAGAAGAAAAAGCGAGACAAAACCCCTTTGAGCAGTTGGCAAAAGGTAAATTTTGGCCATTTTGACCCCAAACACCAAGGCTTACAAGGTAAAAGACTTTTGATACAATGTAGTGCGAAATTCTAAATACTTAAATGAATTGACCTGAAATCTTGATGGCATACTCCAAACTCACAAGCACAGCTTTGGGTGAAATTCCATTGACAAGTGATGTCGGTGTGATGGAAAAGTAATGCCCCAAAGTCATAGATGATAATTAATCTGGGACGGAGGAAGCATGTGCAAACACCTGTTGGGGTGCTTAGAAGCCCGCTGCATTGCCCAAATGGCTGGACTGGCCCACAGGACTTGACTGGAACAATCCACACACAAGACTCGTCGCAGTTTGAAGATATGTCACTGGCCATCGAGAGGTGAGGGAGCTCCACACTGCCTTACCACCTGCTGTGGTGCTCTGTCCCTCTGTCCCGTGCGGCATCCTGTTGAAGCTTCTGACAAGTTGTTTCACAGCATGGGCACCAGTCCCAAAAAATTCTTGCCCTGAAGGGGCCTGCCCATTGCATCTCACATTTTCTCCCTTCTGCTAAAATACACCTCCCTAATGCCTCCCCAGTGCCACCACCCCTCCACTGGCGAACGTCACTCGCATCCGCTCCACGTCGATCGTCGCCAGGTCCTCAGCCACCACCACTGGGCCCCCGTAGTGTTTGCCCACCTCCTCCAGCAGGGCAGCTCGGTCGGTGCCTGGCGGCGTGACGTGCGTCAGGACCAGGCAACCCACACCCGCTTCAGCTGCCACAGCCCCCACCTGGTTGCACACACACTTTTCATCCCCCACAAGCACAAGGTCACCACTTTGCCTTTAAAAGCCAACTCTAAGCAAAGTTTTCAGCCTCCCGTCTGGTTTTGCACGCAAACATCATCGCCCACAAGGTGCAAGGGCTCACCGTTTTGCATTTGGAAGGCAACTGTAAGCAAAGGACTTCACCCTACCCGCTACTTGGACACACCCATGACATCAACCACAAGGTGCAAGGGTTCACGCTTTGCCTTTTTAACGCAATTTCAAAAAGGGCTTTCGGACCCCCACCTGATCATTCTTGCACCATGAACTCCGCATCATCTTTTCACAGCTTGGAAATGAGCCTCACACGCACTTGCTTGGGGGGGAGCGCCCTTTGCACGACCCGTTACTCTTTCAAGTGCAGCAGATCTCATAAGATTCACTGCACCTTGGAAGAGGGGTAATCACCAACCTGGTCAGACCGCGTGTGGTACGACTCCACGTTGGCCACCGTCTCCGCCGTCCGCACCCCCTCCACCACGGGCATCCCCCCCCGCGCCACCACCTCGTGCACCAGCACGTCCGCGCCCCTCGCCGCCTCCACCAGCCCCTCGCACGGCCGCGTGTCCCCGCTGACCACCAGCCGCCGACCGCAAGCGGTCAACGCGAACCCGTAAGCATGCACGACCGGCCGATGGTCTACTTGTACGGCGCTGACCTCCATTTCTCCAAACCTCCCTACCCACCCTGGTCCAAATTCCGTGACTTCGGTTTCAAGCGCGGAAGTCGAAGGCCGCCGCTCGTGCGCTATGCGCTGATCCATCTCCGCTCGCCACAGAGCCATCAACCCGTCCACGTAAACCTTAGTTCCAGGCGGGCCGAATATTTTCTGCGGGCGTTGCCGCCCCTGGTGCCAGCTGGAGAGGATGAGCTGAAAGACGTCCATCACGTGGTCGGAGTGCAGGTGGGTGAGCAGCACGGCGTCCAGGTCAGCGCCGGACAGCCCGGCGGCCGCGAGGCGCTGCGTGACGCCCGAGCCGCAGTCGATCAGGATGGCCGTGTCACCGTGGCGCACAACCTGGGAGGGGCCGAAGCGGTGGGGCGAGGGGACGGGGCAGCCGGTGCCCAGAAACGTGACGCGCATGCTCGCTCCGTTCTGCCGAAAAGGGGGCTCAGCGGAGACCGAAAGCGATTTGTGGGGGGGTCCGCCCGGGGGGGGACGGTTTGCCCTTGTGACGCTCTTGCAAATATCGTACCAGATATCGGTATGCGGTTGCCCGGCTGGCTCCGCTTGCCGGGTGGACAGCCGGGGATTCAGGACCTCGATTAGGACCTTGCAATACTGGGACAAATCGCGGCGACCTTGGTGGGAATTGCCTATCCGAAAAAACTCTCTCCTTCAGAGGAAAAAAACTGCTGGAAGAGTTTTTTTATAGGGCTGTGTTGGGTTGCTTATAAACCGTTGCCTGCTGGCCCCCCGTGGAAGTTGGCGCACCACAGAAGGCCCGAACCGTGTGTCAGCCGCACCAGTGCGCAACGGCCTCCCCGCACGGTTCCAAGGGCACCCTCTGCTTTGCCGTCCGGTGGCCACCAGGACTTGGACTCTCCAAACGCTGAGCATGCGCGCCTGGAGCGAATTGAGAACCACCGCGCGGCTGTCCAGGACATTGGGAAAGGTGATTGGACTTGACAAGGGCCGCCTTGCGCGCAGCCTTGTAAATTGAATACAGAGTTGCGCGGCCTGTACCCCAGGGAACATGCAAGGGCATCGGCGACACCACGCCTCCTCCTTCCCCCCTATGGCCGGATGGCAAAGCTGTTCAAGGAAATGCAACTCTCTTCTCTATACCTCATTCAGATAAGGGTTGCAGGCCAGTGTTTGGCTATTCACCCTGTCTCTCAAAGATTCTTGCAGCCTTGGAGAGTTTATTCCGAGCTTTTAATACATGCCTCTGTGTCATTCCCATCACCGCTGCCACGTCGAAATCCCTGTGAAATACAGTCCACATACCGGACGCTGAACTCACCACTAACCACATTGTATGCAACATTGATACCTATACAGTCAGGAGCGCACTCCAGGGAGCAGCTGCAATTTCACCCCTGTTGATGTGGTGTAGTCGCTGCAACAACTTGGCGAAGGCAGACAATGACCTCCTGTAGAGTTGGACGCAGCTCGTAGTCGCGTCCACAACAGCTTTCTATCAGTTCTGCCAAATTGTGTGGACAGTAGTCTGGAATTTCGCACGGAGGTTCGTTGTCGAATTTCTGCCTCATAATGGACTCCTGCGTCGCTCTGGGTCCCCCATAAATCGGTTGCTAATGAAGAATAATAGAGAATATGTCAGGCGCAAAGAGACGAGCAGCAATCAGGCCACAGGCACGAGGGTGAGGTCACATGGAAGAGGTCACGACAGTCAGGGACCCCCGTGGACCCCCTCGGCTTCTGGCCCCCTCTAAGTCACTCCAGGTGCCCGACGGCCGCTGGAAATGGTGCGAAGAAAGAGTTGCATTTATCTGAAATGCCGTTTCCAGCTTCCTGTCAGGGCTGCTCGCTGGTGGTTGGATAGCGAAGGGACCAGCAAAACTTTCGGACCCGGCGGTAGGCTGCTCACGTTGTTTCAACCCACTCGCCTGCCGGTGTCTTGCATTGTACTGAAGCACATCATGGTACGTGATGTGCTTCAATTTGGCACTGATAACACTAGGAAAAAAGGGCCAAATAACACTTTTGCGAACACACATCAAACACATTTCATCAAAGCTCTGCACGCTAAGATTCTTAGCGCCTAAGAACACAAAATAACACAAACCCGTAAACTTTGTACACGTTTGAACTCGTGTTATTTTGCTCTTTTTTCCCTAGTGTAAACAATGTCACACCAGTACAAAAAAATTATTTTGCATACTTTTTCACAGTACCTTTGCACATAGCCAACAGTTCCAAAGTTATGTTCGCTTCACTCACTGTCATCTTGTTAACCTTGGGCTACCGCACAGGCGTCAGAAATTGCACCGAAGTCTCTCCGTTCAGAAGGCCAGCGCAAAGTTGGTGGTGGTGAGGAGAGACAGATCTGCGTCTGCTCCCGCGCGAGTGGTGATCTCGCCACACCGTGCAGCACCACAGCAGTGCTGGTGAGTGGATGATTTCATCACATCGGCAGCGCAGGATGCACCCACCATCGCAGCTTGGCACGTACCTTCCGCGGTGTGCAGGTCCACAATCCAGACGCGCTGCGGCCGGGATGCACCTGTTCCAACGCCTTGGTCTGCTGCGTTCATCGGTACACGTCAGGGACAAGAGTGCTTGGCGGCCCTATGCGCATAGGCCCCTATGCTCGCCGCATGCGGCGAGCTTGGCCACCAATTTCTGGTTCAACCTCGTTTTAATTTTACTAGTTTGCCATTTTCCCCTTGCGCAAGGGGGACCATCTTTGTCTATCAAGAGTAAGATAGCCAAGTGCCATTGGATTGCATCTGTGAAAGCGCCCATTCACGCATGCGGCAGTATGCAAAAGGCCATATATCACAGTTCTGTGGTGCGAGCCATTTACACCAGAATATATTCTTATGCTTACCCTTTGTCAAGATCTGATTTTTGGTTGATTTTCATATCATGATTGATATTTGTATCGTATTTGAGAGAAACGGGCCTTTCCAGCAAGAATGTTGTCGTTATTGTACGGCTTGGTTCCATTGCTATGGCACCAATCAAATCAACAGTCGACGGAAAAATTCATTCAAATATTTGAATCGGCAGTAGCCATGTGCAAAACATTAATGTTGAGCGCATGGTCACTGTTTATGTTCATCAACAGCACATGCTATATCAGCACAGTTGCTGTTTCCCTGAAACAGCGTCAAGCTGTTCTTTTCACAATAATGTCCAGAATTGTTCTATTCCTGGAAATTGGACCAGTATGCATTTTCGTTTGCAATAGCAGGAATCCAACATAGTGAGTTCGACATGTGCTTGCACCGTCTACCGGTAGACGGCAGTACCACTGGCCAAAACATAGCTCATTCCGAACAGATTCCAACTTTGCTCAGACTGTATTAAAATGGTGTTAGGTTGGGTATCTGAAATTCGAATCGTAATCATATATGAACATATAGCAGTATATTTAACCCTTCCACATTTTTTAATTCAATGTTGCGATTTTCGCTCAGCTTTTTTCCTACAGATCGCTTTCTGAGGGGTCTCGGCACCACGGCCGCAGACGGAATGACGACTTCGCTCAGTTCGCATGGCCTAAAGTGGCGGTTTTCTTCCACAGCGAATCATGCATCCGGGGCCGTTAGCCGCCACGAGCGCTCCGTGACCCTAGAGTCGCGGCTGGGGCTGCTTCACATTTTCTTGTGATCGTTGTGGTTTCTTTATTCCTCCGCATGAAAATGCGAAACGCTACATTCTGATGCAGAAGGGTATAATGTACTACGTTATCGCGCTTTCAAAACTTTTTTTGGGGCGCAAACCCTCGCCGGCGTACAAACGCTCAATGTCAACGTTTTCTGCCAAGATGAAGGCTCATGGCCATGGACGCTGGAGAGGGCCTTTCCGATGGGCCACGGCTGAGGCGCCCGCTCATGTGCCGTTGCCCATCCATGCAGCACAGAATCCCTCCCCGCCCAGAAAGGTCCGTTGGCTCGCGAAGTGGCCACACAACCATGACTGAAGACAATGTGCGGCAGCGCTTTGCGACGCAAACTACAGAACGTTTCCAACGCTGATGTGACCCATAATCTCCGAGGAATTACTCAGTGCGGAACTCCTGCACGACCTAGCTGCTAAAACAGTAGCCGTGATGTAATCCCGCAGCCAAACGGGCCAAGGCAGCCACCTTGGATGCACCTAATCATCCAAGTTGTCCGGCTCCTGAAAATAACAGTATGTGTGAGACGACCTTCGTTGGGGCCTTTCAGGACTAGGATAACTCGCGGCGGCCTCAGCGATGAACTTCCTATTCAACAAGGATCATCTTCTCATTCAGGAAAAGAGCGCACTGCATGGAGAGTCCTCGTTGGGTTGGGTTCCCACTCAGCGGTTGCCTCCTGGCCGCCTGTGGCCCGTTGGCGCACCGCAGACACCCCCGAACCATGTGTCGGCTGCACCGGTCGGCGACGGCCACCCCGTGCGGTTCAACGGCCCCCCCTCCGATTTGGTTTCTGGCAGCCGACGGTGCTTGGACCCTCAAATGATGAGCAGGCACAACTGGAGTGGATTTGGAACTACCCGTGTTTGTCCCAGACTTGGGGTTCAGGTGGGAAAGGTGAACTGACCTGTGAGTTGCGAGGACTGCTGGCTGCGTCAGATCGGCCCCCTGCTGGGGACCCGGGCGGGTCCTCGCCGATTCTGTCGAGGGCCTGGACACGGCGCTCCTGGACACTGCGTCAGTCAGGCGATGCACACGGTGCAGACTGCTGGGCCGTGGCGCACGGCCAAGGATAACCAAAAGACCATGAGTGCGCATCAACGGCCAATATCGGTGGTTGAATCGCCACCACATGTTTGCCGAGGGCGTCGGCTGACCGTCTGTTGTGGACCATGGATGGTCAGTGGTACTGTTGCAACTAAAGCTGACTGAGTATGATTAACAGATGAACGCATAAAGAGGCAATGAGCTATAATGAACTCCACTTAGGACCCTGATGAACGGACTGTATATAAGGGACAGGCCATCTGTTATCCCTTTGCTCGGCTGTAGACCGTTGCCGTGGACTCCAGCTTACGGTCCCCATTCAGGAGCCGCCACCCCTCGAACCGCCTGCCTTCGTCAGTTCCAAAGACGTTGATGTAAGAACCCTGTGCGCCAGCAGTAAGCGTTGGAGCGGGCCACGCCAATGGAGTACGCCTCGTTTTCCATGGAGTCGCTTCTCACCGTCTCCATGTGATGCTTTGCTCTTCGTATTGCACTATGTCACTGTTGGGAGTCCACCTCAGCAGTAAACTCGACACCAGAGCAATTTCCCGCTCAAAAGTCAGCAGGGGCGAGTATCGGATCTTGAAAAGCCCAGGCCGCGTAAACTGCGCGATCCATAGGGTACAGAGGAATGGTAGCATTGGAGAACAGCAGAGGATTTTATCGAAATTTGTTTGGAGAATTGTTGACTCCGACTGGTTAACGCTATGTCAACCTTTTCAAACCATTCCCTGACAGACCCCCCACCACCTACCCCAAATGCCCCACCCACACATTCGCCCCCTTCCCGCTTCTTTTCTGGCAGCTTGATTGCCAGCATGCTGAGTCATTCTTTACAGATACAAAGATACAAATTGAAGGTTTTGTCACAGAACCTGGTTCAGAGACATTAGATGCAAAAGCAGCTGCCAAGATTGCGTGGTCCCTGTTCTCAAAATCCTGTACCCAAACGAACAGGAAAGGGCATCGAGGAAAACATGCCTCCTTGTGCTCGATCTTATGGCGACCTGGCAATGCTGCTCAACAAAATGCAACTCTCTCCCAACGAGATACAGATGAGAAAGGGTGCAGGCCAGTGGTTGGCTATCACCTTTCCTCTCAAAAGCCCCTTTTATCCCTGGAGTGCTTATTCCCAGCTTCCCATACATGCCCTTGCTCATCCCTGTCATCGATGCCACATCCGAACCCTGGATCAGTGCAGCCCAAAACTGGTAAAAAGAACAAAAAAGGTAAAACACGCCACACAACGTGCGCTGGGCTCATCGTGGGCTGCAGCGTCCGCAACACTGATACAATCAGGACCACACTCCAGGGGGCAGCTGCAATCCCCATCCTATGAATACAATGCAGTCTATAAAGCGATTCTGCGAAGGCAAGCAGTGACCTCGTGTATGGTGGGGCGCAGTTGGTAGTCGCGTCCACAACAGCTTTCCATGAGTTCTGCCAGTCTGGGCGGACAGTCATCAGGAATTTCGCACGGAGGTACACCATCGAGTTTTTGCCTCATAATGTACTCCTGCGTTGCCCTGGGGCCCCCATAGATCGGCTGTTGCGACGCCACCTCGTACATTATGACGCCCAGGCCGAAGACATCTGAGGCGGTGGAAGGCGGCATGTCTTCGTACAGCTCAGGGGCCATCCATGGAGGCGTGCCCCCGCCCCTCCTGGTGATGCTCTGGGTGACCGTCCAGTTGTTGTGCACAGACAGCCCGAAGTCTGTTATCTTTGCGACGCAGTTGGGCAGATCCTCCAGGTCGCCAAAGATGAGGACATTGGGGCTTTTCACGTCGCAGTGGATTACGGCAGGGCTCTGGCTGTGCATATACTCCAGGGCGCACGCCACTCCAAGCAGAAACCTGGCCTTCGTGCACCAGTCCAGCTCGCGATTCTGGCACAGGCTCTGTAGATCTGTGGGTGCCCATTCCATCAGCATCCAGCCGGAGGAGGTCACGGCCAGCAGCTTCGCGATGTGGTCGTGCACGAGGGAATGGTGCATGCAGATCTCCTTGATGCACTCAAGGTATCCCTCCAGGTCGTTGTCGTCCTGCACTCTGGGCTTCTTCACCGCCACCGTCTGCGCACTCATCTCGCCTCTGAACACGCCACCTCCGCTGTTCTGCCGCACCACCGTCTGCGCGCTCATCTCGCCTCTGAACACGCCCCCTCCAATGTTCGCCCCAACGAAGATTTCATCGCTCCTGACAAGCGGCAGGTCGCTGAGAGATGTGGCGCCGTTCGCAGTGCTGGGCTCCGGCATCGCTGTCCCCACCTGAGGCACTACCTCGCCTTTGAACACCGCGCACCGACCGACCCCAATCTTCTCCCCCACGACCACATGATCATTGTGCACGCAAGGCACGCTCTTCAGCCTCTCCTCATTGCTGTCCCTCGCGAGGGTCCACTTGTCCTCCACAGCTGCCCATTTCTGCGAGTCCTGCCGATCGATGCTGAAACTCCGCCGCTTCAGCACGAACTTGAGGCTGGTCCTGAAGAACCGCTCGTCCTCGCGTACGGCCTCCGATGGCACCCGCGTGTTGATCCTCACCCCCACCGCGGCCAGCCTGGACACCGACAACTGTATCTCCTCGCATATCTGCTCCACTCCCTCTTTAGCGTCGTCGAACCTGTAGAACTTGTCAAGGTCGAAGTCCCTGGAATGGCGCTCGATGAGCTTGCCGCCCTGGTCCACACACCGCTTCAGGTCTGCAAAAGACTCCCTGCAGCGCTGCTCCTCCTCCGCAGTCAGCGACGCTCCGAGCAGGCCGCGCACCACCTCCTCCAGCTTGTCCATCTGCGTCAGCAGGAACTGCAGCATCTTGTGGTTGCAGATCGCGCCCGTGCTGTTCTTCCTGGACGTAGCCAGCACTGGCTGGATCAAGTTCGCGTGCAGCGTCGCAATCTCCCGATTCCCTATGGACACCAAGCTTTGGTGCGTGTCGTACAACTTTATGCTGCGCCTCCCCTCCGCGCTGACTTCCCCATCGGCGATCTCCTCTCCCGCCAGTTCGAGCACTGTGGCCCCCGGGCTGTTAGCCAGCTTGCACCACATACCCCCGCCGCCCCGAATCCTGATATAGTCACCACCGTCCTGGCGCATCAGCTCTAGTGCACTGCCCCTCACAACATGCGGGCTCTCCGCTATGTACCTAAGCGCCACAGCCCCTCCGTCCGGGCTCCCTTCCGCCCCCCGTTCCGTACCGTACAGCCGATGCCACGTGGCGTATGTGCCGTACACCCTCAGCGCCACCGACCGGTCTCGAGCCAGCAGCGCCTCGACCGCGCTCCTGCACAGCGCCACCGCCATGAAGCTCGATCGAACAGGCTGGCTGGCCGTCCCCTTGATTATTTCCTCTAGATCCTCGCTGCTTCCGATCTCGTGGTAGGTCTTCCGTTTGAAGGTCACATCGTCCCAGCCTATCGTGGCGGAGCAGGGCTCCCTGGGATACCTGGCGACGCTAATCGACGCCTGGGAACGGCGCCCAACAATTTTCGCAAGGCGCTGCTTGGTGCGCCTGAGAAGGCGTTTCCAACGGGGCACCAGCTTGACGCACCAGCCCCGGTCACAGGGAAACAACTCAGTGGACGCCTGCCACTCAGCCACCGCCTGCTCGTCGACATTCCTCATTCTTCCTCTCTCCTCCACAGCAGGAGAACAGCTCGGCGAACAAATTGGTTTGTGAGGATTGGGTCGGCTCGGGGACGCTCAGGGCGGCATAAACGGGTCGCGACTGACGGGCGAATCGGGGTCCGTCACCTTCCTCGCATCTGCAGACTTTGGATCTTTTGCTGGTTTGTCGGTTCGCGGCGCGTCTCCTCTGCAGTCGTCAAGTGGACGTCTGTGGAGTGCGCAAACCGATCTGAGGCCCAACTCACATATGTGAAGCTGATGAGAACTCACAGGCCACGGTTGATCCGGCACAATTTCTCGCAGCGGGCGGCTATGCGGATATTCTTCCGCACAGAACCGGAGCTTGCGCGTGCAAAGGGGAGTGCCCACACGCTCCCACGCCGTGCGCGACCGATCTGATTCAGTCCATTTCTTGCCAGCCCACTGCAGTTCAGTCGCTTCAGCCCGGCTCTCTCGGTCAGATTAGTTGATACCCTCGGCGGTGTTTGCCGCGATCTATCTGGGCGATGAGCTTGACCACCGACCCATGCGCAATGCCACAGCCGATCCCAGACGTACGGATCCACGACACTGAGCCATCCGCCAGCGCAGTGGGCAGACCCGCTGCCTGCGGCAATGAAACGCCCAAGGTGGAGTCGCATCCCCAAGGTCCGCGACGCACCAATATATTTCAAAGACGGAATTGCATGGGTGACTCTGCAGCTACCCGCTCGAATTTCTCGCGAACCAATTGGGTCCTTGCGGTCGCGACTCGGGGCTATGGGCGACCAGCGAACGCGCTTCTGCCTTTGAGATTGGTAGGGTGCACGCGTGGCCGGGCAGTGGTCCAGGCCAATTTTCCTAGAGGGTCGCCGCTGCCGGATTGCTACGGGGCTCCCTGCTCACCTGCCGAGGGCCCCGCCCTCCAGCCTTCAAGGGCGGTGGCGCCCCCGGTGAGGCGTGCCCACCCGGGCTGCAGACGGCGCCCCTTCCCCCTCCTCCAACCTCGGCAGCGGAATGCAAGTCAACCAACAGCCCACAGCCACCAAATGCTTCTCCACAGGCCGGGGTATCCTCTGGCTGCTCACGAAGAAAGAATATTCCGTTCCCGAGCAAGGGAAGTAGCCATTCCGGCCACAGCCGTGAGGGTGAGTCACCGGCAAAAAGTCGCGCCGGTCAGCCTTTTTGTGGATACGACGGAAGGGCAGTACACTCGCGTTCCCCACTGGCTTCTGGCCGCGTCGGAGCCACGGCCAGTTGACGGACTGCCAATGGAAATGGTGTGAACTTCTTGCAGAGCGAGGAGCTTCGAGCCAGCCCACCGCTTCCAGCTTCCTCTACAATACTTCTCGCTGGTGGTAGGTTGGCGAGGGGGCCAGCGAATCTTCCGGACTGGATGGGTAGCTGCTCCTGTGGAGTCAACCCGCCCGCCCGCCGGTCCCCTGGGCAGTACTGCAGCTCACCATGGTGCATGATGTACATGATCTGCGCTGTGAGAAACTACGTCAAAACGCGCGCAAGTACACATTCTACGTACCCTTCAAGGTGTGCCTTGCATACCTGCACGCAATTAATAATTACTTGTATGTTAACGTGACCGGTCGTCGCCCTGTTGACCTTCCCGGTGCTGTACGGGGATTGCATGGAAGTCTCCCCTTCAGGGACCACCGCAAAGTTGGTTGCCGTCAAGGTCAGAATTTGCATCCGCTCCGCGCGATGGCGGTGGCGTGTAGCGATCTTGTCACACGCTGCACCACGAAAGCTGCGCCTGTGAGTGGATCATTTCATCACAGGGGGAGGAACGCAACCAGCACAGGTCCACAGGCGATTTTACCACAGCTGCAGCGCCGCGTGCATTCACCATCTCAGCTTGGCAGGCACCTTCTGCGAGCTTACGAATCCTCAATATTGAGATTAATCTAGACGAACCACGACTGCGTCGCGCTGTTTCCAACACCGTGGTCTGTGTTGTCCATCAGCAGATCAATGCATGTGCGTAGTGCTGCGCATGTTTTCCAGCTGCGGCCTGCAACGCAGCTCAGAAGAAGGTGCGGTGTACCGAGCGCAGACCAGCGCAGGGGACAAGAGTGCGAGGCCGCCGTATGAAGCGAGTTCGACCAAACCTTTTGGTTCCTAACCTTGCATTATTTGCTTTCGCTGTGTTCAATGGAAATGGACATTGGGGTCCACCACAACGTCGCAATGCCAGAACAGAACATCGCATAATGGACTTGAGATATTCCAAACAAATGGCGTTCTTTCCATGGAAAGGCTGGCCAGCCTCACCAACATGGAGCAAGCAAAACTCTTACTGCATTCAAACCACCGCAATTTCGCCTATTCGCCATTGTGCGCCGGTGCCGTCAAGGTCGTGACCTTGGCCACCAACAGCAGGGCATCATTGTGCCATAAGATTGCCTCCGAGAATCCCTCACTGATGCTCGCAATAGTTGGCAAAATCGTACATCGCAGCGGCGAGGTATCAACTTTCCTCTTGTTGTTTTCTACTTTTTGCCTTTTTTTAGACAAACGGCAAAATTTCGTTGATGGTTGATTTGATATGGTGGTTTATTTTGCGCCCATTTGAGAGGAGCAGATACCTACCATTCATTGCCAAGTACACCGCCTTCGCCTTATTCCATTGTCCTGCACATACATACGGTACATATGGTTACTCTGGACAGCGGCTTGGAGACCCTTCTTAAAACCCTATCCACTCGGTTCTTTTCACAAGTACCACACAAGTCGTATTCAACTCGATGCAACTTAGCATTGTCCGTTTGTCCCTTAGTCGGGCACCCCCACGCTCCTCCAAACCTCGGAGTTGGGCGGTGCTGACCTGGCGCCACAAAAGTAGTTCCTTCGATTTTTTACGATAGAAAATGAGCAGGGTAAGATGCATGCTATATGTGTGAGTCGCCTCAATGGCGGTCAATTCTCGTTTACGCTTGCAGGCTGTTGCGTTCCACGTGTGCCATAACATCAGTCAAGCCGTGGTGGCCATAGAATTATGAAATCTATACGAGCATAAGTATGTAGATGAGTTAGATTCCTCACCTTTACTTGCAAATTTCATTGGCATGGATATGGCTTTTTTTTCCTAGCGCTGGTTCTATATGGCGCGCAGTCTGCTGCCCGAGTCGGCAGCGCCTGTTGGGCAGCATCCAATCGGCAGCGCCGGTTAATGTTTACGGCAAGGCTGCCTTGGGATGCGCTGGCGCTGCGCGGGCATGGCTACTGCAATGGCACCTCTGTTCTAGCAAGTATAGCCTCAACATCTTCGTGCGGTGCCACGCCTGGCGAGGGGAAATCCGGCAAAGAGAAACGAGATGTGCGGCGGGTATTGTCTCCGTTGTGAGCACCGCAAATAATATATAAAGTGACAACACTGCTCATGTTCCACGACCATGATGTGGCAGCCAGACGGGCTGATGAGCCACGGTCAGACTTTGTGTTTAGTTTACAGGACATGCCCCACCCAGATCCCAAGACACCGGGATCCTACCGAAACTGCACAACCTTAAATACTCCAGAAAGAAAAGCACATACCATTTGCAAGTGAATAGGACCGCAGGCAGGTCCTGCAATCCCACCCTGGCGTAGTATGGGACCCAGCTGCATGTGTGCAATGTTCCACTCAGTTTGGGGAATGTTGATTCCTTTCAGAACTCCACAGAAATCACAACTGGCCCTTTACCCGGGCAAATTTGCCGAGCCAAATTTGCCAACTGGAGGGATTCCCCACGCACGAACGAGGGTCGCAACAAAAAACTAGATCGGACCGGCTCCTGACGAAACTATCTATTCTCCCCTAGAGATTCTGGTTCAGGAGAATGAGCTTTGCACAGATTACTGTCAATACCACCTTGCTAACGGTTCCCAGGAGCTGTGAGAGCTGAGCGGTGCTCACAAATACTTCGACCCAGTCTCTGGAGACCTTCTCAGGACTTCGAATATTATCGATCGAGATCAACACATCATCAGGATACTTGATAACATCCAGTATGGCGGAGCCTACGCCGCTTCGGCAAAAAGATACTGACTAATTCCTGTGCTGCGCAGAGCTGACTCCCCACAGCACTACTCCAGACACTTGTTACTTGCCGGCAAATTCTTTCGAAACTGCGCTGCCTGATCTTTGGTCAGCTGACAACTGTTTCGACCTCCCCATTTCGGCCCCGGGCTTATTTTGAACGGCGCTGACGGGCACACGGTCTTAGCGCGCTTGAGAGAAGGTGTTTCCATGTCGGATTCTTCTATTTTTGGGTCGCACCCTCTATGGATTCCGCTCATTACACCAACGAGTTGCTATGGGAGTATTCACAACCACTGGACTTTACATGAAGTTATGGGTTGCATTCCAGAAGTTTGCAACGCTTCGCTACAACGACGCTTCCCCTTTCCAGGCCCGTTTCACTTACGACGCCTGGTAGGAAAGGCGGGTGAGATTCTTAATTACGGGGAGTGGTTTCGCGTGATGTGTTGCTGGCCCAGCGAAGCACAATAGGGACCGCGCTCCTGGCTGTGCTTTTGGTTGTGGTTTCGGGCGCTATTGCATGGAATGTACACATGCGACATGTCCAGACCAAGTCTCATGTGATTCTCCTGCACGCAGTCTGACATCCGAATGGATTCGCTCATTCCAGCCCTGGATTTACAGCTCGACACAGTACACGCGCACCTCGCCTGAGTTGTCAACAGCCAACAGCCCGTACAACAATCACCGTTGCAATTCAAGATTCGCACAGAAGCCCCTCCTTCTCAGGGATGAACAATGGCTCACTCAGTCGCACGGGATATGATCGCAGGCAGCATTCTCCATCTCCACACACTTGATCCAGGGTCAAAACCCTGTCTGTACACACGAATTTAGAGACAACAAGCCTCTATTACACTCAAGTCCTACCGCGCAATGTCTCAGTTCATGTTCTCTACTGGTGGCCGGGGGGCGCTGGTCACCGTGGTCATCATCATCGCTATAGCGACAGCCCCTCTCAACTATAGACCGACCGGCTATT